TGATATACGAGGAAAAAATCTTGGGAGTAGATTTTGAGTTGGTAGTAGGGCGCAAAACGTTGACTGAACAACTCCCACGTGGCACGCCCAGTACAAGGGCTTTTAGGAATCTTGAGTTGGCGAAATACGCCCTTGGCGGCCTTCAACTGCGCTGGTCCTTTTTCGTGACGTATGTATTTCCATTCCTTCATCCATTCCTTGGTCACAGGATCGGGTTTGTGTTCGTGGTGACTGACCACGACCAGGGCACGGGCAAAGCAGAGTTGATCATCATCTTGATTTGTACGAGGCATTACTTCTTTTCCAGGAACGTGTTTAAGCTGACGATGTGCCTTGGCGGCCTGTGTCCCTGGCCTAGGAGAGCCAGATCGTCTAAATGCAGTAACGATATATCCATGGTCTCATCGATATTCAAGTCGTGGTTACTTTGCTGTACTTTTTCCTCTCCGGCCATGATGTGTTCCCCCTGGAGGTCCTCCATGCGCTGTAACGTGATGGGGATATCAGAATCCAGGGCTGGATGTTTCAGGATCAATCCCATGCGATCACCATCCTGGCCGTTGACATTGTGTCTCAGGTCTAACAAGACAGCATCACACTGCTCTCTGAGAACGACGGGGAGGTCTTCAGGTTGTTGACGCTGCAACCAAGCCGGATTGAAGTTCAGCTTGTAGCGATGAGTGTTGCCCCGAATCTTCCTGGCATTTATTTCGGACGTCGGTTCCAACCAGTAGGGCACGGTCACCTCTTCAAGTTCCTCTGCTTCGTTCATTCGTGGTGACAGCATGATGAGAACTGACAAGACCCACGCTGAGCCTGGTTTATATACACAACGTCACCCTATGATGTCATCATGGGTTTTGCCCATTGGTTTTGCCCATGGGTTTTTTCCCATAGGTTTTGCCCATGACGTCACACACCCTATGGCATCACGCCACACTAGCCCGGCGGCCCAAAGTGGCGTCATCAACCTCAGCTATAAAACTCAGGTTTGCCAGATCTTCACATCAGTTTACATGTGAATCTACTGTGGGGAAGGGATTAGGAAGGGAGCGCACCTACATGATGATGCCTGTCCAGGGAAATTTATCTTCCGAGGCCTTGATCTGCTATGCCGGTGTTAAACATGCCTTGCCATGCCAACGGCCCTTTTCAGGGCCACCCACCTCGCTCGAAAGAATGCTACATCCAATGCTTGAACCACACTCTTCTGTAGCCACGCCATCGTCCACTCACCACTCTCCCTCCCTCCCTCTCTCCTTCCCTCCCTCTCTCCTTCCCTGCCTCTCATTCTCCATGGTGTCTACACTCGCGAGATCTCACGATATCCCACCGGATGGACCGCCATCTTGAACAGGGCGTCCATCTTGGCCCGCAGGTGACATCATCGGGATGCGCGCGCACACCGGAACCGGACGTGACGTCATCGCGATAAATGCACACACCGGAACCGGAACCACCCCTTACCGGAAGTGCCGCCATCTTGTATAGCGTGACCGGAAGTGCTGCCATCTTGAAAAAGGGGCCAGGGTGACGCTGTACACAACTTATGGGTATTTATATAGCGCTATAGTCCATCCCATCTACATGCACGCTGAAAGCGCTTTCTTCGCGTGGATGTCAATCTCTACGACACAATATATGTTCAAGATCAACTCTCTGGGGATCATACAACTAGTGCAGCCACTAGGCGCAACACATCACCAATCCGTGCTGAAGACAACAGTGTGTGGTTCTAGCATATATCTGTACCATTGTCTAACGGATTTACTTGCTTATGTAGCTCTGACAAAAATAGCCTTGTCTACTAAGTGCATTTCATTGTCCATTCAGCCACTAACACGTAAGCAGAATTTCCTAACCAATTAGTAATGATTCCACCCTTTCTACCACCCTACCCGGCAGACAGGGCAGTCTCATACTGTCTGAATAGGTCTGTGGCCAAACGCCTGACTGTGAGGCGAATGTGCAGACAAACATGGCGATGTGGAATAGAAAGCATAGAATCTGCATTTGGCGTCTAGGCTTCTAAACCTCTTAGTACGACGACAAAACATTAAGACCAGCATTTCTTATACCAGAGTGAAGCGACTGGTTTCAAATGTAAAAATCCCGCATTTGTAGACCCACCATTGTCTGAATTTCAGGTACACATTCATTTAGTTTGCATTAATTATACCGCCACCAAGATAATACTGACTTTGTTATTCCGTCGCCACGGAGATCGGCTCAAAAATGCAATTGATGTACATGAATGTAATTAGTTAAACAATGGATTCCTTTTCCGTTGATCGGTTCGTGGAGCTGGCTGAGTTCAACCTGATCTTAACACAACAGAGCAGTCGCCATCAAACACAAGAAGCCGAGAACGGTGATGTGAGATCGGGACGCGCATGGATGGAGGTACATATAAAGCAGCGAACATGTCTGTGTGTGTCCGCTTGAACAACTTGTCTGTTGCTGGATTATATAATGCCATTGCACTGAGTTACTGGGTGAGTGATGAGGTGAGTGATAGGGTTAGTGATGGGTAAATGATGGGGTGAGTGTTGGGGTGACTGATGGTGTGAGTGATAGGCTGAATGAAGAGGTGAGTGATCGGGTGAGTGACGTGGCGAGTGATGGGGTGAGTGATGGGGTGAGTAATGGGGTGAGTAATGGGGTGAGTGATGGGGTGAGTGAAGAGGTGAGGGATGGTGTGAGTGATAAGGTGAGTGATGGGGTGAGTGATGGGGTGAGTGATGGGGTGAGTGATGGGGTGAGTAATGGGGTGAGTAATGGGGTGAGTGATGGGGTGAGTGATGAGGTGAGTGATGGGTTGAGTGATGGGGTGACTGATGTGGCGAGTGATGAGGTGTGTGATGGGTGAGTGATGGGTGAGTGATGGGGTGAGTGATGAGGTGTGTGATGAGGTGCGTGATGAGGTGAGTGATGGGGTGAGTGATGGGGTGAGTGATTGGGTGAATGATGGTGTTAGCGACGGTGTGACTGATGGTGTGACTGATGGTGTGATTAATGGGGTGATTGATAGGGTGAGTGATGAGGCGATTGATGAGGTGAGTGGTGAGGTGAGTGATGGGACGACTGATTGGGTGAGTGATGGGGTGAGTGATGGGGTGAGTGATGGGGTGAGTGATGGGGTGAGTGATGGGTTGAGTGATGGGGTGAGTGATGGGGTGAGTGATGGGTGAGTGATGGGGTGAGTAATGGGGTGAGTGATGGGGCGAGTGATGGTGTGAGTGATGGTGTGAGTGATAGGGTTAGCGATGGTGTGACTGATGGGGCGAGTGATGGGGTGATTGATAGGGTGAGTGATGAGGTGAGTGATGGGGTGAGTGATGGGGTCGAGTGATGGGGTGAGTGATGGGGTGAGTGATGGGGTGAGTGATGGTGTGAGTGATGGGGTGAGTGATGGGGTGAGTGATGGGGTGAGTGATGGGGTGAGTGATGGGGTGAGTGATGGGGTGAGTGATGGGGTGATTGATGGGGTGAGTGATAGGGCGAGTGATGGTGTGAGTGATGGTCCGAGTGATAGGGATAGGATGGTGTGACTGATGGGGTGAGTGATGGAGATGGAGTGATGGGGTGATTGATGGGGTGAGTGATGGGGGTGACTGATGGGGTGAGTGATGGTGTGTGAGTGATGCGGTGAGTGATGGGAGTGGAGTGATGATGAGTGAGTGATGGGGTGAGTGATTGGGTGAGTGATGAGACGACTGATGAGGTGAGTGATGGGGTGAGTGATGGTGTGATTGATGGGGTGAGTGATGGGGTGAGTGATGGGGTGATTGATGGTGTGAGTGATGGGGTGAGTGATAGGGTGAGTGATGAGACGACTGATGAGGTGAGTGATGGGGTGAGTGATGGTGTGATTGATATGGTGAGTGATGAGGTGAGTGATGGTGTGAGTGATGGGGTGAGTGATGAGACGACTGATGAGGTGAGTGATGGTGTGAGTGATGCGGTGAGTGATGGTGTGAGTGATGAGGTGAGTGATAGGGTGAGTGATGGGGTGATTGATGGTGTGAGTGATGGGGTGACTGATGGTCTGATTGATGGGGTGAGTGATGGGGTGAGTGATGAGACGACTGATGAGGTGAGTGATGAGGTGAGTGATGGGGTGAGTGATGGTGTGATTGATGGGGTGAGTGATGGGGTGAGTGATTGGACGACTGATGAGGTGAGTGATGGGGTGAGTGATGGGGTGATTGATGGGGTGAGTGATGGGGTGAGTGATGGTGTGAGTGATGGTGTGAGTGATGGGACGACTGATGAGGTGAGTGATGAGGTGAGTGATGGGGTGATTGATAGGGTGAGTGATGGGACGACTGATGAGGTGATTGATGGGTGAGGATGGATGGGATGAGTGAGTGATGGGGTGAGTGATGGGGTGGAGTGATGGGGTGAGTGATGGGGTGAGTGATGATGGTGAGTGATGGGGTGGAGTGGATGGAGTGAGTGATGGGTGTGAGTGATGGGGTGAGTGATGGGGTGAGTGGATGGACGACGAGGATGGGGTGAGGATGGGGTGAGTGATGGGGGTGAGTGATGGGGTGACTGATGGGTGAGCGGATGGCGTAAGGGATGGCGGGAGTGGATGGGGTGGAGAGTGGACGACTGACGGACGGACGACGGAAGACGGACCGACGACGACGGACTGACGGGGGACGACCGACGGACTGACGGACCGACGGATGGTGGACGGACGACCGACGAGGTGGACGGACGGACGGACGACCGACGACGGAGACGGACGACCGACGGACGTGGATGACGACCGGATGGACGACGGACGGCGGATGGACGACCGGATGCGGACGAGGTGGATGGACGACCGACGGATGGGACGACCGATGGATGACGACGGACGATGACCGACCGATAACGACGGACCGACCGACGACGACGACGGAACGGAATCGACGACGACCGACCCGACGGACGGACGCGGACGATGGACCGACGACTGAACGAAGGACGGATGGAGTGGATGGGCGTGGATGACGACGGACGGACAACGGATGGATGACCGACGACTGACGACCGAAGGATGGACGGAGTGGATGGGATGGGACAAGGATGGACGACTGAAGGATGGACGACGGACCGACAGGAGGAGGATGGACAAATGGACGAGGTGGATGGAGGGACCGGATGGATGGACCGACAGTGAGGACGAGGATGGAGTGGACGGAGTGGATGGATGGAGGTGAGTGGATGGGGTGGATGGATGGAGGACTGGATGGAGTGGATGGATGGACCGAGGATGGACCGGACAAGGACCGGGTGAGGATGGACGTGGCCGGAGTGGAGTGGAGGAGGATGGATGGAAAGGATGGAGTGGATGGAAGGTGGATGGAGGATGGAGGAGTGGATGGAAGGAGTGGATGGATGGATGAGTGGATGGAGGAAAAGGACTGGAGGATGGAAGATGGATGGATGGAGGAAGGATGGAAAGGATGGATGGATGGATGATGGAGTGGATGGAGGTGGATGGAGTGGAGGGACAGTGGATGGATGGAAGGAGTGGATGGATGGATGGACAAGGATGGAGAATGGATGGATGGAGGAAGTGGATGGACAGGATGGATGGAGTGGGATGGATGGTGGATGGAGTGGATGGACGGATGGAAGGTGGATGGATGGATGGAGGAATGGATGGAGGTGGACGATGGAGTGGAAGGATGGATGGAAGGAGGAGTGGATGGAAGGATGGATGGAGTGGATGGAATGGAATGGATGGATGGATGGGTGGATGGATGGAGTGGATGGATGGAAGGAAAATGGAGTGGATGGATGGACTGGAATGGATGGAGTGGATGGAGGATGGATGGAGTGGATGGACCGAAGGATGGAGGATGGATGGATGGAATGGATGGAGTGGATGGTGGATGGATGGACGAGTGGATGGATGGATGGAGTGGAGGATGGATGGAAGGGATGGATGGATGGAATGGGATGGTGGATGGATGGATGGAATGGATGGAATGGAGTGGATGGAGGATGGATGGAAATGGATGGATGGTGGATGGATGGATGGATGGATGGATGGATGGAGGACAGGATGGAGTGGATGGAAGGTGGATGAAGGATGGAAGGATGGATGGTGGATGGATGGATGGATGGATGGAGGATGGATGGATGGATGGAGGATGGATGGATGGATGGATGGTGGATGGATGGAGGATGGATGGATGGAAAAGGATGGAGGATGGATGGAGTGGATGGAGGAGTGGATGGAGGATGGAGTGGATGGATGGAGTGTGGATGGATGGAGTGGATGGATGGATGGATGATGGATGGATGGATGGATGGATGGATGGATGGATGGATGGATGGATGGAGGATGGATGGATGGAATGGATGAGGATGGAGATGGAAGATGGATGGAAGGAATGGATGGATGGATGGATGGATGGAGGTGGATGGATGGAGTGGATGGAAGGAGGATGGAATGGATGGATGGATGGAGAGGATGGATGGATGGTGGAGTGGATGGTGGAGGGATGGATGGGAGGATGGTGGATGGAGGGATGGTGGATGGATGGATGGATGGATGGATGGAATGGATGGAGGTGGATGGAGGATGGATGGATGGATGGATGGTGGAGGAGGATGGAAAGGATGGATGGAAGATGGATGGAGGAGTGGATGGAGGTGGATGGATGGATGGATGAGTGGATGGACGGAGGATGGATGGATGGATGGATGGACCGACCGATGGGGTGGGACGGTGGACGATGGATGGGACGGAGTGGATGGATGGAGGGACGGAACGGATAAAGGAGGAGGATGGACGGAGTGGATGGATGGGAGTGGATGGAGTGGATAGGATGGATGGAGTGGATGGATGGATGGATGGTGGAGGTGGATGATGGAGGAAGGATGGATGGAAGGATGGAGTGGATGGATGGAATGGATGGAAGGATGGACGGGATGGTGGAAATGGAATGGATGGTGAGTGGATGGAGGTGGATGGATGGAGGGACCGGAAGTGGAAAGAATGGATGGGAGGAAAGGATGGATGGATGGTGGATAAGGGTGGAGGATGAGTGGATGGACGACCGGATGGAAGGAAAGGAGTGGATGGAGTGATGGATGGATAAGGAAGGATGGATGGATGAGTGGATGGTGGATGGATGGGATGGATGGAGGAGTGGATGGATGGAGGATGGAGTGATGGAGGGATGGATGGATGGACTGGATGGATGGATGGATGGAATGAGTGGAGTGGATGGAAGGAAGGATGGACTGATGGAGTGGATGGATGGAGGAGGGTGGATGGTGGATGGAGTGGAGGGGTGGAGGATGGAGGAAGGAATGGAGGAGGAAGGATGGATGGAGGAAGGATGGAAGGAGTGGATGGATGGTGAGGATGGAGTGGATGGTGGAGTGGATGGAGGATGGATGGATGGACAAGGAGTGGATGGAATGGAGGATGGATGGACCGAAGATGGATGGATGGATGGATGGATGGAAGGATGGGATGGGAGGAGTGGAATGGATGGATGGATGAGGAGGAATGAAGGATGGAATGGATGGAGCGGATGGATGGATGGATGGATGGATGGATGGAGTGGATGGACAAGATGGAGTGGATGGATGGATGGATGGAGGCATGGATGGATGGATGGACCGGATGGAAGGAGTGGAATGGATGGATGGATGGATGGACGGAGGAATGGATGGAAGGAGGATGGTGGAGGGTGGAGGATGGATGGATGGATGGAGGATGGAGTGGATGGATGGATGGATGGAGGATGGAAGGAGTGGATGGAGGAGGATGGAGGTGAGTGGATGGAGGACAGGATGGTGGAGGGATGGAGAGTGATGGATGGACCGAGGACATGGATGGAAGGATGGAGGAAGGAGGATGGACTGATGGGTGGATGGAGTGGATGGAGGATGGAGGAAAGAGTGACGGTGGATGGATGGAGTGGATGGAAGGAATGGATTGGATGGATGGATGGAGGGTGGAGAATGGATGGTGGATGGATGGATGGAATGAGAGGATGGTGGATGGGGATGGATGGACAGGGTGGAGGGTGGATGGATGGAGGACGGAGGAAGGATGGAAGAGATGAGTGGATGGAAATGAGTGGAAGGAGGATGGAAGGATGGATGGATGGAAGAGTGGATGGAGGAGTGGATGGATGGTGGATGGAGGTGGAGGAATGGAAGGAGTGGATGGATGGTGGATGGATGGATGGATGGATGGATGGATGGATGGATGGAGGAAAGGAGATTGTCTGTCCTCACACCGCTACCGGACCTCCCTACTGGGAGATTGTCCGTCCTCACACCGCTACCGGACCTCTCCCCTACAGAACATTGTCCGTCCTCACACCCCTACCGGACCTCTCTCCCTACAGGAGATTGTCCGTCCTCACACCGCTACCGGACCTCTCCCCTACAGGACATTGTCCGTCCTCACACCGCTACCCGACTGACCTCTCCCTTACAGGACATTGTCCGTCCTCACACCGCTACCCGACCTCTCCCTACAGGAGATTGTCCGTCCTCACACCGCTACCGGACCTCTCCCCTACAGGAGATTGTCCGTCCTCACACCGCTACCGGACCTCTCCCCTATAGGACATTGTCCGTCCTCCCACCGCTACCGGACCTCTCCCCTACAGGAGATTGTCCGTCCTCACACCGCTACCGGACCTCTCCCCTACAGGACATTGTCCGTCCTCACACCGCTACCGGACCTCTCCCCTACAGGAGATTGTCCGTCCTCACACCTCTACCGGACCTCTCCCCTACAGAACATTGTCCGTCCTCACACCGCTACCGGACCTCTCCCCTACAGGAGATTGTCCGTCCTCACACCGCTACCGGACCTCTCCCCTACAGGAGATTGTCCGTCCTCACACCGCTACCGGACCTCTCCCCTACAGGACATTGTCTGTCCTCACACCGCTACCGGACCTCTCCCCTACAGAACATTGTCCGTCCTCACACCGCTACCCGACCTCTCCCCTACAGGACATTGTCTGTCCTCACACCGCTACCGGACCTCTCCCCTACAGGAGATTGTCCGTCCTCACACCGCTACCGGACCTCTCCCCTACAGGAGATTGTCTGTCCTCACACCGCTACCGGACCTCTCCCCTACAGAACATTGTCCGTCCTCACACCGCTACCCGACCTCTCCCCTACAGGACATTGTCCGTCCTCACACCGCTACCGGACCTCTCCCCTACAGGAGATTGTCCGTCCTCACACCGCTAATGGACCTCTCCCCTACAGGACATTATCCGTCCTCACACCGCTACCGGACCTCTCCCCTACAAAACATTGTTCGTCCTCACACCGCTACCGGACCTCTCCTCTATAGGACATTGTCCGTCCTCACACCGCTATCGGATCTATTACCTTGAATATAATATCTTAACTTAATAGTTTGGTTTTCAACTTGTTCGAATTATCCCTTCGCCCTCATCGAGGGAGCTTAAACAAACGCTCAGTCCCCTATTGTTCGTGGTAATTGGGAAAGGACCACCATTCGCATGAAGGCGAAAACGAAATTCGATCAATGTTTATACACGCCGAAAAAATTCGCCTTCGTGCAAATGAACCCTTACATAGATATATATATACTAGGCACATAAAGAAACTGTGCATACAAAAATTTAAAATTTAAATTGATCAAACCTGTGTAGACACAAAAGGATTTAAACTCAGAGGTTAGTGACATGTTTCCAACATGCACGCATGTGGAGAAATGTTGTTTTTACAGATGAGTCCAGGTTTAACATTTCCCATAGTGATGGACGTCAACGTGCCTATAGACGCGTGGGAGAACGTTATGCACAGGCCTGTGTCTTGGAGAGGAATCGCTTTGGTGGTGGTTCCGTGATGTTTTGGGGTGGAATAACAACACACCAAAGAACTCCTTTGGTGATTGTTCAGGGCAACTTAACTTGTGTGGGCTACAGGGATCAGATTCTTCGACCTGTGGCAATTCCTTTTCTGCAACGTCATGGCCCTTGGTTAACATTCCAACAGGACAATGCCCGCCCTCATATGGCAAGGGTTGCTATGGATTTCTTGCAACACCACAACGTTGACTTACTGCCTTGGCCTGCACATTCACCGGATCTCTCCCCGATAGAGCATGTTTGGGACGAGATGGATCGACGTCTACGCCGTCTTCCTCATCCGCCAGATAACGTCCTTGACCTTGCAACAGAACTTGAGAGAATCTGGCGTGACATCCCACAAGCCTTCCTTGCACGTTTGATAGGCTCTATGCGTCGTCGATGCACTGCTGTTCTCAATGCCGATGGTGGACATACCCGTTATTGAGCTTGTGACATGGTCGTTTGACCCCTGCCCCGCTTGTGGACTCGTGACGTCATTGTGATTGTCTTTTCAATTGAAATTCTCCCGACTTGTTATGGTCTCATGATCCCTCCATTAAAGTTTATATGTACCTTTGACATTGTTATCGTACTTATCAACTGGGATAATATTTGACAATGCACAGTTTCTTTATGTGGCTAGTATAGTATGACCAGAAATTATTGAGAATTTTAGGAATATGTTTAATTGGATTTCTAGTATAAACAACCTTGACCAGCTATCAAGTGCTTGGTTTCATTCAAGAGAGACAACTCCGTTTATCCTTTTTCATTAGTTTGTGAAGAGTTATCCCCCTTTGTTTACTTGCTAGCAGACGACATTTTCAGTGATCCTCAGTATGGATGATTTAGAGAAGAGGAAGTAGATTTTAGAGTATTATAAAAAGGACATCAGATCAGCTAAAGTGATTTCAAGTAGAACAGGCATCCCTTTGTCCACTGTTTATCGTGTTTTGAAAAATATTGCAAATGGATATGGCATTGAGCACCAGGGAGGCGCAGGTAGGCCCAGAAAATTGACTGTCGGTGACAGGAGGCGGCTTGGTATTCTTGTTTCTAAACAAACGAAGGAGTTTAGAAAACTTAAGGCTGGATATGATTGATAGAGGAACTGTGGCTGTCTGTAAGGTGACAATTAGAACTGAGCTGCATGCAATGGGTTGGCAGAAAAGTCCTGAACAAAAGGAGCGAAGGTTGAACTGGTGCTTACAGCAGAGAAATTTTAACTGGGACAATGTGTTTTTCTCAGATGAAAGTTCTGTGTGGCGGTTTCCTAATACACTGAAATTCGGGACCAAACAAACTGAAAAACCTTTGTCTCAGCGCCCAAAGTACAGTCCGAAATTTAACGTGTGGGGTGGCATATCTGTGTTAGGGGCAACGCCCCTCTGTGTATTTGAAGGGAATATGAACAGTGAGCGGTACACATATATTCTCGAGGACATTTACTTCCATCTGCTCACGTGTTCTATGGAAATGTTTGGATTTTCCAGCAGGACAACGACCCAAAACATCGTTCAAAGCATTCACAGGCCTGGTTTCGGATCCAAACTATGACATTATTAGATTGGCCAAGCTATAGCCCTGACCTAAATCCAATAGAAAATGTTTGGGGACTTATGAAGGAAAGTGTAAATAAGAAAAATCTGACAAATATTGCTGAAATGAAAGAAGAGGTGGTCCGATATTGGGACAGCATGGACCACGACTTTCAAACTTCTTAGTAGTATGCCCCGCCGCATTGAAGCCTGCATTGCTGCCCATGGTGACTTGACAAAATACTGACTGTTCACCTGTCTTTGAATCTGGAGTTATGTTCTGCTAATATTCACATTTAATACGTGAGTAATGAGTGGAAAAAAGAAAATTACAATCTTTAAATTCTCAATAATTTCTGGTTGTACTGTATTTCAATAGGTAATCTGCCTAATACACGGTTTATCCTCACTGTGCAGGCAGCCTGTAGAGGGTTAGGATTAGTGATGTTGTTGTAAGGAAAGGGGTCGTCTCATAAACTAAACTCATGGCGTAGGGAGAGATTCCAACTGATAGATTGTCAGACTGATGAACTCAACTCACCAATTTAACATGTTGAATTAATGTCACTGAATAAAACTCAGCTATATATTACACAGGAGAATGAGTTCATGAGTTCTAGAGTTCATTCCTAATACGCAAGGTGGTCGTAATCGTGTATATCAAGGTTATAAGCTCAGAATACGGAAGAGACGCAACACCAGTGTACATTGGAGGTGTTGCAAGGCAGGCTGTCCTGCAACCACCAACCGGGTGCCAGGACCACAAATCATGTCGAAGGCTGTTGACACTATACCACCATAGTTGTCGAAACTACAAAATGCACAAAATGAGTCAGTTGCTTGCCATGTTTGCTTCTCAGAATAAACTACCCTTTTGGTTCTTTTTGGTTTAGATTTGCCGTTATTCACAGAGGTTCAGTATGCCGAGATAGTTGGTGAACCTGAGGACTGTATGAAATCTCTTTCTATGGTTAATTCTACTGATTCTATGAGAGGTGAAATGGGGTTTAACGTCGCACTTAAGAATATTTCACTCATATGACGACGTGCATGCGTGTGTATGTGTGGCTGCTTGTACTAGCCCAGACTGAAGCTGGTTTTATAACTGATTCTATGAACAATATGTGTACATATACGTATATAGACATCTTGTCATTTGTTTAGCAACTTTAGAAACAGCGTTGTAATGCAGAGAGAAGCTTGAGAGAATATAGTTTAAACATATTTATTCGTGAAACGAATGGATTGGCAAACAAGCTACAAACTTGTATTAATGCCGCTCCAGTACAATTTGCAAAGGTAAATAAACCAAAATTAACATACAGGATAATCACATGACAAATCACAAGGTTAATGTACAGTCAGATGATAATTTATATTTCAACAGCAATTCCATCATAACAACCGATATATTTCTTAAAGCTAACAATTCTTCAACCATATTTGGTACCAAATCTACAAGAAGCTGTGATGAAGAGGTAAACAGATTTTAAGACAGCTAGGTCATCAAGATCAAATATTTCACTATTCCCATATAGAATTGTGTTTAAGCTGTACCCATTTTTGTAATAAACCGCATCATTTCTTAACACAGCGTAGTTTGGACAGGCAAGCAGATAGTGTTGTGTATCTTCACGATAAACGCCGTACGAACAGGAAGGATCGTTTGAGATATGTCTTTCAAATTTATGATAATTTAGATCAGTACAGCCTAGACGAAGCCTACAATGAATAATTTGACAAAATCGACTTTCATAATTCAGATCATACTCAAATGAAAATCCTGACTTGGGTGTTACTTTTTCAGCAAATGTTTTTTGAGATTGTATCATTTAATGTCATTCGGTAAAGCATCCCAAAGGTCTACTGTGCTTGGTAAAAACGAGTTTAAATAAGGGACCGTTTATAATATATGGCAAGGGTGGTGGGGTGGGATGATGATGCTTTTTATGCAGAAGCATGGACAATGTGAATGCCTCCCCCCTAAAATTTATGTACAAAATAAGTGATCCACCCTTGCATATCATGTACAAAATCAATGAAGCATAATTTTTTAACATGTTAATGTACAAAATTGCTGACCCCCCAAATACATGTGTACAAAACTGCTGACCTCCCTACCTACGCAGAACAAAATGGGTGCTCCCCCAATTTTTTTTTCACACACACACACACACACACACACACACACACACACACACACACACACACACACACACACACACACACACACACACACACACACACACACACACACACACACACACACACACACACACACACACACACACACACATTTGAGTTGCATTTACGCGAATACATTTTATTTTTTTGTAATTTAAATTTTATTTCTGAATCCCTGTTACAGTCAAAACTAAGCAGCCAGGGGACAGCTCAGTCTGAAGATATACAGTAATTTAATGGGATACAGGTGGAATTCTTTACGAAACATGACAATCCATTCACTCACCATTCACACAAATGCAAGATTTTCAAAAAAATTATCAAACATATTAAGAATATAATTAATTCAGTCGTCTTTGAATAAGCCATGATATAAGAGCCATTTGGAATAAAATTCGGAGTTACAGCTTTTGTTAAAGAAAATACATTTTTCAATACTATATCTCAATCTCAAGTCACTCCTGAACTGAGCAATATTTGGTAAAACAGAATTGAGCTTGCATTTGTACAAGTAATTTTTTCCCAATAATATGAACAAGTCAAAAACAGAGTCAGTAAAAACAGCCAAAAATTATCAGTTCCATAGTGAGTTTGAGATTATGGATAGGGTCACAACCTTCTGTTAACCATGATAAAAAATTTGACCATATGGTTTGCACAAATTCACATTCTCATAACAAGTGACAAATAGATTCCTTTTCTTCATTACAGAATGAACATAAGTTAGAATCTTTTATTTTAATTTTTTAAAGAAATGTATTGGTAGTTAATTCTACGGAGTATCCTGTATTCGAACCATCTCAGTTTGGTGTCTTGTGTTGATTTAAACGATTTTAGGAATGGGAAAATACAGTTCCAGTCAAGACCACACTGAAAATCCTCTTGCCACTTTAACTGTGCTCTTGGTGTCCTATTTGAAGAACAAAGAATGTAGTAATAGGCTTTTGAACCTTGATTAATTGAAAGTAACAACCGAGTAATTGGTGTATTTCCTGCACATTGTCCAGTGTTTTCTTTCACAATTGACAAGCCAGCAAAATATTTTCTTATAGAGCTAATGACACCATAGCATTCTAAAAAAGACACATTCAATTGATACCTTTCATTAAAATCAACCACAGACAGATAACTGCCATTTTCATCGACAAGATCACAAATTTGAGAGATATTCCTTTGAATCCACCTTTCATTTTTCTTCAGGTTTAATTTTACTTGAAAAATCATAAAAAGAATATTTAAGAGAATATCATGCTCCCCTTAGATTGTTGTACATATCTGATACTGACCAGGTAGAATACCACGGTATCACACTCCCCTTATATTATTGAATATATCTGATACTGACCAGGTACAATACCGCGGTATCACACTCCCCTTATATTATTGAATATATCTGATACTGACCAGGTACAATACCGCGGTATCACACTCCCCTTATATTATTGAATATATCTGATACTGACCAGGTACAATACCGCGGTATCACACTCCCCTTATATTATTGAATATATCTGATACTGACCAGGTACAATACCGCGGTATCACATTCCCTTATATTATTGAATATATCTGATACTGACCAGGTACAATACCGCGGTATCACATTCCCTTGATGTTGATGTATTTGGCTGTAATCACACTGACCACGTCAGGTATGACCACTGCTCCGAATAGAACACACATGAGTGATATGGCCAGATACCCCATGTTGGTGGAGGAAGACCGCTCGTCTTTAGCGCTCTTCTTCTTCTGAACATACTTGCTCAAAGTCCTCGCCTCAACTTCCAGCTTCTTCTTGATCACCCGCGCAGCTTCTGCCACTTGCTTGACGTCTGAGGGAAGCGACGAATCTTTACATTGGCACATACACTTCACCACAATCTTGCGCTGTGGGAAAGGGTTGTATGGAATGGCGAGCTCAGTGCTTGCTGTTGCTGCACGTGAGGCTGGTGTCACGGTAGTGGTGATATCTGTGGTTGTTGTTGCACTTGAGGCTGGTGTCACGGTCGAGGTGATATCCGTGGTTGTTGTTGCACGTGAGGCTGGTGTCACGGTCGTGGTGATGTCTGTGGTTGTTGTTGCACGTGAGGCTGGTGTCACGGTCGTGGTGATGTCTGTGGTTGTTGCTGCACTTGAGGCTGGTGTCACGGTAGTGGTGATATCCGTTGTTGTTGCTGCACGTGAGGCTGGTGTCACGGTAGTGGTGATATCCGTTGTTGTTGCTGCACGTGAGGCTGGTGTCACGGTCGTGGTGATGTCTGTGGTTGTTGTTGCACGTGAGGCTGGTGTCACGGTCGTGGTGATATCCGTGGTTGTTGCTGCACTTGAGGCTGGTGTCACGGTCGTGGTGATATCCGTTGTTGTTGCTGCACTTGAGGCTGGTGTCACGGTCGAGGTGATGTCTGTGGTTGTTGTTGCACGTGAGGCTGGTGTCACGGTAGTGGTGATATCTGTTGTTCCACTTGAGGCTGGTGTCACGGTCGTGGTTATATCCGTTGTTGTTGCTGCACTTGAGGCTGGTGTCACGGTCGAGGTGATGTCTGTGGTTGTTGTTGCACGTGAGGCTGGTGTCACGGTAGTGGTGATATCTGTTGTTCCACTTGAGGCTGGTGTCACGGTCGTGGTTATATCCGTTGTTGTTGCTGCACTTGAGGCTGGTGTCACGGTCGAGGTGATGTCTGTGGTTGTTGCTGCACTTGAGGCTGGTGTCACGGTCGAGGTGATGTCTGTGGTTGTTGCTGCACGTGAGGCTGGTGTCACGGTCGAGGTGATGTCTGTGGTTGTTGTTGAACCTGAGGATGATATCACAGTCGTGGCAATAGTCAAACATGCTGCTGTCGTTGGTTTTGGGGATGTCACTTAAATGAACAAAAGACAAATAGCTGATTATTCGCATGGATGTTTAACGCCGATCAGCAATATTCCAGCCTGTAAATAATCATGTCTGGACCAGACAATCCACTGATCAACAGCATGAGCATCGATCTACGCAGGTGGGGGTAAATTTTACAAGATAGGCTCATTTACTTTCTACGAGCACTTATAATGTTGGGATCGCGCACTCAGTGGTTCTTCTTTATAGGCTCTTTCGTTTCAGAGAAAATGCATAAACTGTCATTACCATAGACACACGCACGTGCACATGCACAAGCACACGCATACACACACGGATTCACTCGGGACCTATCATGTGACGTACCTCGAACTGGCTGCCCCCTTATGATAACGTTACACAATTCAAGGGCAGACGACTGATTGTATTTTGTGATCCTGACATATCGTCCCACCGTTGGCTGGTCACAGTGGAGAACTCTGGTCTCTCCATTTTCAAAGGATGCAGGATAATACAAACAGAGATTCTGTGCATCACACGTCTCAGGGTCAACCATGTGCATGGTAACGTGGAACTCCCTCAACCTGTTTCCTGAAACACGTTATGGAGGAAGTGGCGGTAAACAGTTTGTCACATTATGTTGTTTCCTTGTTTCGTTGTATAGATGCTGTTGTTTCCCCAAGATCATCTTGTTTCGTTATATAGATGCTGTTGTTTCCATCAGGTCACCATGTTTAGTTATATAGACGCTGTTGTTTCCCCAGGTCACCTTGCTTCGTTATATAGATGCTGCTGTTTCCCCCAGGTCACGTTGTTTCGTTATATAGATGTTGTTGTGTCCCCCAGGTCACCTTGCTTCGTTATATAGATAGTGTCTCCCCCAGGTCACCTTGTTTCGTTATATAGATGCTGCTGTTTCCCCCAGGTCACCTTGTTCCGTTATATAGATGTTATTGTTTCCCCCAGGTCACCTTGCTTCGTTATATAGGTCTGTTGTTTCCCCCAGGTCACCTTGTTCCGTTATATAGATGTTATTGTTTCCCCCATGTCACCTTGCTTCGTTATATAGGTCTGTTGTTTCCCCCAGGTCACCTTGTTCTGTTATATAGATAATGTTTCCCCCAGGTCACCTTGTTCCGTTATATAGATAGTGTTTCCCCCAGGTCACCTTGTTTCCACATATAGATGCTGCTGTTTCCCCCAGGTCACCTTGTTCCGTTATATAGATGTTATTGTTTCCCCCAGGTCACCTTGCTTCGTTATATAGGTCTGTTGTTTCCCCCAGGTCACCTTGTTCCGTTATATAGATAATGTTTCCCCCAGGTCACCTGGTTCCGTTATATAGATAGTGTTTCCCCCAGGTCACCTTGTTCCGTTATATAGATTTTGTTCTTTCCCCCAGGTCACCTTGTTTCCACATATAGATGTTGTTTCCCCCAGGTCACCTTGTTTCGTTATATAGGTCTGTTGTTTCCCCCAGGTCTCCTTGTTCCGTTATATAGATAGTGTTTCCCCCAGGTCACCTTGTTTCCACATATAGATGTTGTTTCCCCCAGGTCACCTTGTTTCGTTATATAGGTCTGTTGTTTCCCCCAGGTCACCTTGTTCAGTTATTATAGATAGTGTTTCCCCCAGGTCACCTTGTTTCCACATATAGATGTTGTTGTTTCCCCCAGGTCACCTTGTCCCGTTATATAGAAAGTGTTTCCCCCAGGTCACCTTGTTTCGTTATATAAATAGTGTTTCCCCCAGGTCACCTTGTTTCCACATATAGATGTTGTTGTTTCCCCCAGGTCACCTTGTCCCGTTATATAGAAAGTGTTTCCCCAAGGTCACCTTGTTCCGTTATATAGATAGTGTTTCCCCAAGGTCACCTTGTTTCGTTATAAAGATGTTGTTGTTTCCCCCAGGTCACCTTCTTCCGTTATATAAGGTTGTAATTTCTTTAAATTATGATTTTCTCCTTGGTAAAGTAGCTTCATAAGACTTTATTGTTCCCATTAAGTTGCTTTCCTCCAGGTTAACCATCATAGCAGGTCCACTGAATCTTTCTGTACTCACCATAGCAGGTCTACTGAATCTATCTGTACTCACCATAGCAGGTCTACTGAATCTATCTGTACTCATCATAGCAGGTCCACTGAATCTTTCTGTACTCATCATAGCAGGTCCACTGAATCTTTCTGTACTCACCATAGCAGGTCCACTGAATCTTTCTGTACTCACCATAGCAGGTCTACTGAATCTTTCTGTACCCACCATAGCAGGTCTACTGAATCTTTCTGTACTCACAATAGCAGGTCTACTGAATCTTTCTGTACCCACCATAGAAGGGCTACTGAATCTATCTGTACCCACCATAGCAGGTCTACTGAATCTTTCTGTACCCACCATAGCAGGTCTATTGGATCTTTCTGTACCCACCATAGCAGGTCTATTGGATCTTTCTGTACTCACCATAGCAGGTCTTCTGAATCTTTCTGTACTCACAATAGCAGGTCTACTGAATCTTTCTGTCCCCACCATAGCAGGTCTACTGAACCTTTCTGTACCCACCATAGCAGGTCTATTGGATCTTTCTGTACTCACCATAGCAGGTCTACTCAATCTTTCTGTACTCACCATAGTAGGTCTACTGAATCTATCTGTACTCACCATAGCAGGTCCTCTGAATCTTTCTGTACCCACCATAGCAGGTCTAGTGATCCTATCTGTACACACCATAGCAGGTCTATTGAATCTTTCAGTACTCACCATAGCAGGTCTACTGAATCTTTCTGTACCCACCATAGCAGGTCTACTGAATCTATCTGTACTCACCATAGCAGGTCTACTGAACCTTTCTGTACCCACCATAGCAGGTCCACTGAATCTTTCTGTACTCACCATAGCAGGTCTACTGAATCTTTCTGTACCCACCATAGCAGGTCCACTGAATCTCTCTGTACCCACTATAGCAGGTCTACTGAATCTTTCTGTACCCACCATACAAGGGCTACTGAATCTTTCTGTACACACTATAGCAGGTCCACTGAATCTTTCTGTACCCACCATAGCAGGTCTATTGGATCTTTCTGTACCCACCATAGCAGGTCCACTGAATCTCTCTGTACCCACTATAGCAGGTCTACTGAATCTTTCTGTACCCACCATAGAAGGGCTACTGAATCTTTCTGTACACACTATAGCAGGTCTACTGAATCTTTCTGTACCCACCATAGCAGGTCTATTGGATCTTTCTGTACCCACCATAGCAGGTCTACTGAATCTATCTGTACTCACCATAGAAGGGCTACTGAATCTTTCTGTACCCACCATAGCAGGTCTACTGAATCTTTCTGTACTCACCATAGCAGGTCTACTGAATCTATCTGTACTCACCATAGCAGGTCCACTGAATCTATCTGTACTCACCATAGCAGGTCTACTGAATCTTTCTGTACTCACCATAGCAGGTCTACTGAATCTTTCTGTACCCACCATAGCAGGTCCACTAAATCTCTCTGTACCCACTATAGCAGGTCTACTGAATCTTTCTGTACCCACCATAGCAGGTCCACTGAATCTTTCTGTACCCACCATAGCAGGTCTACTGAATCTTTCTGTACTCACCATAGCAGGTCCACTGAATCTTTCTGTACTCATCATAGCAGGTCTACTGAATCTATCTGTACCCACCATAGCAGGTCTACTGAATCTATCTGTACTCACCATAGCAGGTCTACTGAATCTATCTTTACTCACCATAGCAGGTCTACTGAATCTATCTGTACTCACCATAGCAGGTCTACTGAATCTATCTGTACTCACCATAGCAGGTCTACTGAATCTTTATGTACTCACCATAGCAGGTCTACTGAATCTATCTGTACTCACCATAGCAGGTCTACTGAATCTATCTAGCAGGTCTACTGAATACTCACCATAGCAGGTCTACTGAATCTATCTGTACTCACCATAGCAGGTCTACTGAATCTTTCTGTACTCACCATAGCAGGTCTACTGAATCTTCTGTACTCACCATAGCAGGTCTACTGAATCTTTCTGTACCCACCATAGCAGGTCTACTGAATCTATCTGTACCCACCCTATAGCAGGTCTACTGAATCTTTCTGTACTCACCATAGCAGGTCTACTGAATCTATCTGTACTCACCATAGCAGGTCTACTGAATCTTTCTGTACTCACCATAGCAGGTCTACTGAATCTATCTGTACCCACCATAGCAGGTCTACTGAATCTTTCTGTACTCACCATAGCAGGTCTACTGAATCTTTCTGTACCCACCATAGCAGGTCCACTGAATCTGAATCTCTGTACCCACCATAGCAGGTCCTACTGAATCTTTCTGTACCCACCATAGCAAGGTCTACTGAATCTATCTGTACTCACCATAGCAGGTCCACTGAATCTTTCTGTACTCACCATAGCAGGTCTACTGAATCTTTCTGTACCCACCATAGCAGGTCCACTGAATCTATCTGTACTCACCATAGCAGGTCTACTGAATCTTTCTGTACTCACCATAGCAGGTCTACTGAATCTATCTGTACTCACCATAGCAGGTCTACTGAATCTTTCTGTACTCACCATAGCAGGTCTACTGAATCTTTCTGTACTCACCATAGCAGGTCTACTGAATCTATCTCTGTACTCACCATAGCAGGTCTACTGAATCTTTCTGTACCCACCATAGCAGGTCTACTGAATCTATCTGTACTCACCATAGCAGGTCTACTGAATCTTTCTGTACCCACCATAGCAGGTCTACTGAATCTTTCTGTACTCACCATAGCAGGTCTACTGAATCTTTCTGTACTCACCATAGCAGGTCTACTGAATCTTTCTGTACCCACCATAGCAGGTCTACTGAATCTTTCTGTACTCACCATAGCAGGTCTACTGAATCTTTCTGTACCCACCATAGCAGGTCTACTGAATCTTTCTGTACTCACCATAGCAGGTCTACTGAATCTTTCTGTACCCACCATAGCAGGTCCACTGAATCTATCTGTACTCACCATAGCAGGTCTACTGAATCTTTCTGTACCCACCATACAGGGCTACTGAATCTTTCTGTACACACCATAGCAGGTCCACTGAATCTTTCTGTACCACCATAGCAGGTCTACTGAATCTTTCTGTACCCACCATAGCAGGGTCTGTACCCACCATAGCAGGTCTACTGAATCTTTCTGTACCCACCATAGCAGGTCCACTAAATCTCTCTGTACCCACTATAGCAGGTCTACAGAATCTTTCTGTACCCACCATAGCAGGTCCACTGAATCTTTCTGTACCCACCATAGCAGGTCTACTGAATCTTTCTGTACTCACAACAGCAGGTCCACTGAATCATTCTGTACTCATCATAGCAGGTCTACTGAATCTATCTGTACCCACCATAGCAGGTCTACTGAATCTATCTGTACTCACCATAGCAGGTCTACTGAATCTATCTTTACTCACCATAGCAGGTCTACTGAATCTATCTGTACTCACCATAGCAGGTCTACTGAATCTATCTGTACTCACCATAGCAGGTCTACTGAATCTTTATGTACTCACCATAGCAGGTCTACTGAATCTAT